GCTCGCAGCGAGACAGGCTTTCGGGCGAAGTGCGCTGCTCTTCTCCGGGGGAGCCACTTTTGGCATGAATCATATTGGCGTACTAAAGGCTCTTTGGCAAGCTAACCTTCTGCCGCGAATCATCTCCGGCGCGTCTGCGGGCAGCATTGTGTGTGCCGTCTTCTGTACTCGCACTGAGGATGAGCTGCCGGCTTTGCTGGACTCATTTACAGAGGGGGACTTTGCTGTTTTCGGCGAGGGGACTGAGGAAGATACTATCCTCCAGAAGACAGCTCGGTTCTTGAAATATGGGTCATTTCTGGACATCTCGCACCTAGCCAAGGTGGTGAGGAATTGGTTGGGCGATATCACTTTCCAGGAGGCATATAACCGAACACGACGCATCCTCAACATTTGCGTTTCCAGTGCTGGCATCTACGAGCTACCCAAGTTGTTGAACTATATAACTGCGCCCAATGTATTGATCTGGTCTGCTGTGTATGGTCCCCCTTACACAATTCCGACTGTTTTCAAACCTATAGGAGTTGATGCTGACTTCAACAGGGCCGTCTCATGTTCAGTCCCGGTAGTCTTTTCGCCGTATGCCCTTATGGCTAAGGATCCCCTGACAGGAGAACCAGTTCCATGGAGCGACCTTCATAGGCAATATATTGATGGCTCCGTGGACGGTGACCTCCCTATGACTCGTCTGTCGGAGATGTTCAACGTCAACCACTTCATTGTATCGCAGGTCAATCCCCATGTCGTTCCATTTCTACCCAAGGATGATGGGCCAGATCCGTATATGGAAAACTCTTTCACCGCTTCTCGTTGGATCCGGAATATCACATATCTTGCCAAGGATGAGATTTTACATCGGATGACAGTCATGTCCGAGCTAGGGATCTTTCCCACGTCTTTGACCAAAACAGTTTCGATTGTCAACCAAAAGTATTCCGGAGACATCAATATATATCCGGAAATTCAGTATTCTCGGATTCCCGTCATGCTACGCAACCCGACAACGGAGTTTATGCTTCAAGCATGCCTAAGCGGCGAGCGGGCCACATGGCCCAAGCTTGGACGAATACGCAACCACTGCGCCATCGAATTGGCGCTGGACTTGGCCATTCAGAAAATGCGGGCTCGAGTGGCCTTCTCCCCGAGTCGCGTCCACGCAAGAACAGATAGCATTGCTGGCCATTCGATCGAATCCCTCGACAGCAGTGGAGGCCGAGGACGTTTGTTGAACCGGAGAAGCTCCTATAACCATGAAATCGAAAAGATCAAACATGCCCGCCACGACCCGGGTCGGCGGACAAGGCCATTCCTACAAAGGTCCCGCAGCGTGTTGCTATCCGAACAAACGCACCGAATCGACTCTGTGGCCTCGGCCAGACTGGACCAAGCAGTGCAACGGCGCCGTCAAAGCAATCCAAGCCAATCTTTTAACACTGGGGACGGATTCTATAGTCCTTGTTCTGAGAGTGACGAACATAGTGAGGAATCCTCCCCTCCGACCCGCGTCCCGCTAGAAAGGCATGTTTCATGGGAACCGTCATCATCCGACGACCCGCCTTCCGATGAGGCCACCCCTAACGGCAGCGCACAGTCACCACATCCATCCTCTCCCATACATATAGGACGGGTGAGTTCACAGCGAGCTCCCGTATGGCCTCCAGACCTGTCTGCGCACGCGATGCCAACGACACCTGAGCCATCGTTGCCACCTTCCCCTCACCACCTCCGGATGACGCCTAAAGCCTATGTCTCCAATCCCACTTCTCGTAACTTCTACAACTGACCAAATATATATTGCTTGATCGCTCATACTCAGTTGTGACGTATGTGCTGGAACACTGCGATCAACAGAGAACATAAAGATGGGAAACTTTCTTTCAGTGTACATACTATATATTGATGAGGACATTTTGGCTTGGTCGGATTTACTAGTTTATTGGGCAGTTCATGCGTTGGCTCATGGCAATGGGTCTAGACGGGGATTGCATTTTAGAATCATACATCAGGACTGGAGTTCTTTTCTATGGGGGTGGCTGGATAGAGACCACACTTGGCTTTAGACTTTCCTTTACTTTGAGGGTGGTTCGCAGTTGACTGCACCGCTATCACAGAAATAGAGTACCACCGTACTGCTCGGTTACTTAGCATGCCCTAACATGAATCCGTCGTCAACACGCGTAGAGGAATTTAGAACATATTTTGCTCTAGGAGCATTACCAGCAGGCCGTGAAGAAATGTGGTTGCCGGTAAAAGTATGCAAATAGAGAATATTAGCTCATCGGAAAGGTTAAGTCGAGTTATTTAGCTACTCCATCCGCTTTCTCAGTCATTAGTACCATATTGTTATATAACCGACTTTTCCTCCAAATAGTATAGCTCCATATTACTATGGACTCTATAACCTTCTAAAATCCTGCACAATTCAACAACTTATTCCAGGTTAATACTTCACAACCCGAAGCCCCGCATAGCTTAGTAACAGCACGGTAGCAGGCTTTATCACACCAACGTCGAGTCCAGCTCCAAAAATAGAAGATCACAAGGAAGCACCACCTGCCATTGGCTCCCAACCCTACCTACCGAGCAGATGAAACGCCGGATGGGATGAAGTGGCCTCCCAGCCAGATGGAACAGAGTGTGAGTGGTTTCAGGGCCAGAGGGAGGGGTTCCCGGGCGCGACGCTGCTGCAAGTGACCAACTAGTGCTTCTAAATCCGTCCGCATTAACCACCATTCTTTCCCCGAAGCCGGGCGGTTAATTAGGACGGTAAACCAGTGATCTGAAAATAGATCATGGCATCTGGTCAGCCTATCAGTAGTATTCCTTTTCTACCCGCCGGACGATCCCTCCAGTCGAACCCTTGGCTGAAGCGCCCACCCGTCACCCCGGGCGGTTAACCCACGATGAGACGGCCAGGATGCGGGTGATGGGCATGGAGTGTGCTTCTAAACTTGGCAACAAACAAATGAACATGCATGATGCGTTTTGATATCGATGGTGGAACAAGAAAGGTATCACCATCGCGGCCCCTGCTCGTGCAAGGCTTTTATATGGGCCATCCGCCATGTTCAGACGAGGCTGTCTCAGAACCAGACTGGCAGCCTTGGAGAAAGCCTTACTTTGATTCTTTTGACAAGATATCTTGATATGGTCTGTGCTTGGCGAGGTTGTTGCATCTTGCCTATTATACTCTACTAATTAACTTGACTTCAATTTCATCTTGCCTGTTCCTCCAATCACCTCGACCTATCTTCTCTGCCCTGGCTAGACGTGCATCTGTCAGCACTGTGTCTGCTGCACCTTACCCTGCCTAGTCCCCAGCTACCAGGCCAACCGTTGGAGAGTCTGGGGTAGAAGCCTCCACTCTAGAGAGCTTATACTCTGCCACTGTCATGTGTCATCTCCAGCTATTTTAAGGCTGAGAGTTGCGTCCTTCCATCCAATCATCCTCCATCTCTTCACCTCCATCTCCACCATGGCCAGTATAGTCACCGGCCCTCTCGGTCGATTCCGTAAGAACGGATCCCACAAACGGCTGCACGAACGATGGGGCGACGTGGGCATCACCGTTCCCACCGAGGGCTCCTGGAACCAGCGCGACAACCCCCACCGGTCATCAGACCGCAGACGACCCGCCTACGAAGTACTAAGTCGAGGACAGGATAGTCCTGTCGAGGATCATCTCGAATCCACCCAACCTAGCTCTTTCTCCGTCAAGGCGCTAAACCCACGCCGTCTTTCCATGCGCATCAGCTCCCGCTCCAAACCCACCACCGACTACCCCAAAGAGAACACTACCCCCACCGACCGTCAAACCAAAGCAGAGAGGCGGGTGTCTCAGTTCACCTATCGACCTATTCATCAAGATTATCCGACGGAGATGGCTGAAAAGGCTTCTCGACAGAGTCAGCACTCTCCCCGATTCAAGTACATCCCTACTGCGCCTCAGTATGCTGAGGAACTTGGACTCCCGACTTCACGTCGCTGGTCGAGTCAGCGGCATAGTGTGCAGAGTAGTTGTCCAAGTGAGGGTACTCGGCGGAGTTATCGCCGGTATCCTGATGCTGCAGAGGACTGCTACGACGATGAGTACTACGAGGAGAGGAGAGAGCGGTACGAACGACCTTTATCTACTAGACGAGATAGGAGCAGTGTGGACTACTATAGTGCTGCTACTAGTAGTCGACGGGGCAGTCCGGCGTTGGGTCGCAGTGGGGGAGCCACGGAGAAGCGGGGCCGGTCTGGGAGAAACTTGACGACGGCGATGGTCCCGGATGCAGATGATATTTATGGATAATTAATGATTGTTTTGTTGTGATGTTGACCCGGTTTAGCGATGCATTACTAGCTTCATGTGTGACGGTCGTGATGGGGACTTTAGCACATCTGCATATATTTATAACTGGCGTTGGCGGATTTCTGAGCAAATTTCCGTTATATTTGGACTAGCCGTTCACCATAATAAATTTCTTGGTCTTGATAATTAAAATCAGACTATAATTAACTCAATATTTATTACTAGTGATCCATCGTAGCATTACCCTAGGTTACTAACACTGACAGCGTTGCAGTCATAGTACCTAAGTAACATTCCATACTAAACTGACGTCAACTTGACGGCCCGCCCTCACCACTACTCTCTAATTGCATCCTCTGGGACTATTGTCCTCAAAATTTCCAGGACTCGAGTTCACAAAATAGAGGATAACCCAGCTGCAGATAAGATAAGAAAGGTCAGATTTAAACTCCATCACTCGTCGGAAGGCTTCCCGGACCAGGGCGAGACCATCAGGGCATGACAGTAGTGATCAGGGCATGACGCCATCCCATCCGGCCATTCCACCGCAGTCCATGACGCCATGTTCACGCAGTCAACATAGAACTTCATATATAAGTAAATATCTGTATATCTTGTAAAAACCCCCTTCTTGGCTTAAATGGAGTATCATTGAGTTTCTTTCAGAGCCTAGTACATATCAATTGATTTTCCTCTCATCACAATGACAGCCTCGGTATTTCAGCTTAAGTGCGGGATCAAGGTATTCATCAATTTATCATAATATTTTACATAAATTTGCCAAATAACTGACCTTAATAGAATGATCCCTGGGGTAAGCAAGGTAAAAACTCGTTAGCTGGTGTTCTTTGCTCCAAGACGCCTGGTACAATTGAAGTGGAGGATGGTCAGCATTATTCTGAGGTATATCACTTTACCCACCTAAGAGATAATTATGCTAATCAGCTGTGACTAGATGTGGATGGGCACATATCCCACCGTCCCATCTCGTATCCTTGCCACAGGTGAACTGCTAAGCGAGTACCTCCAAAAGCACCCCGAGGTTACGGGCGAAGGCTACAAGAAATGGGGTACTGAGGTGCCTTTTCTCCCGAAGGTACATACCTACCCTATGCCAACCCCATCCCATCATCCTGTAATAAATACTAACAGCATATTTGCACGAGTGAAGATCCTTTCCTTCCAAAAAGCCCTCCCCCTCCAAATCCACCCCGACAAAAAGCTCGCCGAGAAACTCCACGAATCCCAGCCAGACAAATACTCGGACCCGAACCACAAGCCCGAAATCGCCATTGCCCTCTCCAACTTCGAGCTCTTCGTCGGCTTCAAGCCCCTGCACGAGATTGAAAACCTCTTCAAACTCGCCCCTCTCCAACGCTTCCTCCCCACAGAGACCAACACCCCTACCTTCGACGATTCCCTCCTGCGCGAAATCTCCCGTATCCTACTCACTCTTCCACCCATACTAGTCTCCGAAACCATCTCCTCCCTGCTCACCATCCCAGAGGCCCAGTTCGGCCCGAACCAGCGATACATCCCTGGCCTACTGACTAGATTGAAGAAGATGTACCCGGATACTGATAATGGGAGTCTGGTTGCCACAATCCTTATGAACTATATGACTCTTGGGCCAGGGGAGGCGGTTTGTGTGCCTGCGGATAGTATGCATGCGTATCTTACCGGGGATATTATGGAGTGTATGGCGAGATCGGATAATGTCATTAATACGGGGTTTTGTCCCAAGGCGGAGAGCGATGATGTGGATTTGTTTACGGGGTCGCTGAGTTTTACACCCCATGATGTGGAAAGTGCGCTTTTGAGGGGGAAGAAGAGTGATATTGGGAAGTGTTGGAAGACGGAGGTATATGAGCCGCCGTTTTCGGAGTTCTCAGTGCTGGGGGTAAGGCTTGGGAAAGGGGAGAAGGAGGTGCATAGGGGGGTTAAGGGAGTGAGTTTGCTGGTTGTTGTGAGGGGGAGTGGGTGGATGGGTGTGGATGGCGAGAAGTTTGAGTTGAAGGAAGGGTGGGTTTATTTTGTGGGTGCTGGGGTTGAGGTGAACTTTGAGACGGAGGGGGGGTTGTTGGTTTATAGGCCTTTTGCGGAGTAGATTTTCCGTTTCCTCTTCTCTTTGTTCCATCAGTGAGTGTGGGAATTGGGAGGTTGGTATCTGTATGAACGATGGAGATATGTGTCTATTTTAAGTCCGGCTAGCCCTACAGAATTAGCTACAGATAGGATATGCTATTTTCGGCCCTCCCGGACCCTCATCGCGAATAAGCGCCCTCACAACATACTCCTTCCAAGCGCTCAGGCACCGCGACTCCACGTCTCTCATCCAATGGATCCCGTTAACACCTTATCTGGATGCTATTTTTGGCTTGGTATTTGCTTGTTCGTTCATCTCCACGAGTTGTGATGTGCGAGTCCCTGGTTGAGTGACAGGTTCGGTGAGATTAAAATAGATGCCGAGCGGGGAAAGGCACTTTTCAAGCGCCAGGATGGGATTGACTGGTGAGTTTGAGTAGTATTTTAAGTCGGAGGGTTCTCTGGTTCTTTTCGGTGGGTTGGACTGCATTCTGTTTTGTTTCGTTTTCTGGTGTGCTGTTTCATCGTTGTGCTGCGTGCGTTGGTGCTTCAAGCAAGCAAGATAGTTGTCATCCATTCTGCTATCCACTCCACTCCACTCACTCCCTTCTACCCGTCATACCCACCAAGGGGGTATGCACGATGATCCTCCCTCGTGATGGATATCCTCGACAAGACTCATCATCGTCCGTGGAGTCCCCCTCGTCCGGTCGGGATCAGATCATCATTGGCGTGGTGTTTGGAGGAGTAGCAGTGATCATGAGTATGTTGTCACCTTCCATCTATCCTTTCCTCCTTCCTATGACATGGACGTTGGGGGTCAACATCATCTCATCTCACTCTGTACTGCAAGTCATAAGCGCCATCCTCCTCATCCGATGCAAGAAACGAAGCAACGAACGCCGTCATCGCCGTCAGCAGCAACGCCTGCTCGCCCATCATTTGTCTCAATCCACCACTGGGTACTATCAGTATCATCCTGACTTGGAAGGAAGCAAGCCTCAGACCCCCGAGTACCCACTTGAGATCACCTCTACAGCACAGCAGGAACCTTCATCATGTCTTGAACAACAGCAACATCCTCCTCTGCAGAGGGTCATCGAGGATCCCCCACCGGCGTATCAGCCCCTCCCTGTGTATAACCCTTCACGGTACCATGGGGTTGATGGCATGGTGGGTATCGCGGTGCCATACCCTGGGGTCACGGCTAGTATGTATCGGATGTCGGGATTGGGAATAGAGCCTCAAAGAAGAGTGCCAGATCGAGACTCGAATGCCTTTAGCTTTGCTGTTGAGGAGAGGTTGGATGTGCCGGTCCATAGGCCAGGTGGTGAGGCGGAGGAAGGTCAGTCGGTTCAACGACCTAGACCGGTGCTGTCACGGTTGGTGACGAATTTTGGGTAGGCTGATATAGTTATGTCTCTCTTATGTTCCTATGTTGGGTGGTTGGCGTCTTGGTTGGTGCTGTTGGGTGTTAAGGTGTTTGGTTTATGGCTTTAATGATGATGACGATGATCACGACGACAATGATGATGATTGCAGACTAGACTTGGGACGAAGAGATTGATGGAGAATGGTATGAAAGCCCCAGGTACGTATTTACTATGGTCTTTTCTTTTCCTGTCTGCCCTTCTACTATTGTATCTTTTCTATTGCAAGTCACCTTCTCTTCTCCCCTCATCCTGGATGAACTGAGCCAGGATGTACCCCCGCTCCACCCAACCACAATCACTTTCTTCATCACCTACATATCTCCCGCCTAAATTACTGTGCCGGGCATGGTGTGATGAGCCAAGGAAGATTGATGAGTGACTGCCAAAGAATTAAGCGTGGAGGAGCCCGAAGGCGGCAAGCCACTGGGGGAACCCCCTCCCTCCCCCTCCCTCTTCCTCTTTTCTTCTTCCTCCACCACCACCTCCTCTTCCATCTCTTCCAACCCACAGCTTTCCCACCATCTTCTTCCCCCCTCATGTCTCACTCTACTGCAGCTAGACAATCGACCGGACTCGACTGCTGCACGGTGACAAGTGACAAGTGACCACTACACTGGCCCTCGCGCGCCGTCTCCATCACGGCGCGTAGATAAGCTCGACGGGTGGTTCGGGCCCAACCGCGACGATCAACCGGTGATTGTCGCTGCTGCTTCCCCTCTTCTCCTCCTCCAGACCCTGGTCCCCATCGAAGCTTCTGCGCCAATCAATTTTCCGACCTCCAACCCCCCGGTTAGCAATGCTACGTCGGAGTTGGGTGCGGCAGTCGAGCTGTCGATTCGAGTCCAGCTGCTGCTACTACTGCTACTACGACAACTAGCGGCATTCCTCGTCACGCTCCCTCTCTCACATCGGCAGGGATCTCGCCCATATTGTAGCCGCTGAGAGGTCCATTCATCTCCCAGAACAAGGATTGCCTTGTGTCACACCCCTTCCATCTCTCTCGCAGCCGCTGGATGGACCACGCCAAGGGAGGACTATCAACTACGGCTGTGGTTGGATGTCGCCAACTTCCCGGAGTCTGTTAGCAGCTCCCTCCGGTAGGCTGGCTGCAGGTTGCCTGCAAGTTGACTGCGCCGCTCAGCTATTCTCCCGACTGCTCTCCCCTCTTTTACCATCTCCAGGCACGCGGACCGGTTCTGCTCCCTGCTCCAGAGGCTCTCCCATGACCAGTCATTGCGTCGGAATCGTCATCCCGCTTACAAAACAAAGGGCGATCCCCCTCCGGTTGACTGAGACTTCTCCCACTGGCCGCGTACGCCCGACGGGCCTCCCCACCCAGGGCGACAAAAAGTCCGCTATGATGGAGGGTGAACCATTCTGTCGGGTCAGGATGTGTCTGCTCGCCTTTCACCGTCCGTCCCGTTCGCTGGGCTCCGATGCCCATCCCTCTTCGCACTGAGGGACGTTCCCTGAAGGAATTCAGCGTTGGTCCCTGAAAGGGTCTTTTTTCTGCCATCCTGTGGGCGATATGCAGCCGGCTTTCGGCCGATGGATTGCAGCGTTCGGTGTTCACCCCCTCCCGTTTTGACACTTTTCCATGCCAGTCCTTCGGTGGCTGTCTGGTCCCTGTTCCTATCTTACTTTCCTGTTCTAGGCAGCTTGGGGACCGGGTCGTGGGGTCCTCTGAAGCAGAGGCACCCGACCTAAATCAAACCCGTAGACGGCGGGCCCTTACATTTTAAGGTACCGTGGTTGGACTTGATCCTTCTTAACCTAGTTTTTCCTCCGAGTTCTTGGAGGGACCTGTGCGGTCGATGCTGACGCGGGCCCGGGTGCTCCAGCTCGACTACATTAAGGAAGGACGCTCTTGTGACAATGACGGCTATCATCCAAAAATTACGACGCAAGCGAAAGCTATCCTCAGAGCTGCACTCGCGATGGGGGGATGTCTCCATCACCTATCCTAACGGTGGGTCCTGGAGTCAATGGGATCAGTCTTCTACCGGCGCAACTTCAGCCTCCCCCGACCACGAGCGACGGCATGGCTCCTTAGAACTCAATCGATCTGCCACTGCGCCGAGGCTGGGGAGTTACAGCCGCATTGGGGATGCCAATGTGCGGGCGCCATCCGTGGATTCAGCCATGACGATTCCTACCGGCCATTATGATGCACGACTTAGTCGAATGCGAAGAAAAAACCAACAGCAGAGCCCTCCGGTCGGTGTGTCGAAAGCCCTGGATTCACCCCGCGAATGCGACGATGCATCCTGTTCAGATGACTCCTCCGAGGATGAGGAAGACGACGTGGCCGTGCCCGCTCCTCTAAATGTCTCCCGCGACCACAATCCAGCCGAGAAGGAAGAAGCTGATGCCTATTCGCAAGCATCCAAATCGCCTCCTTTGTCGGTAACATCTCGCATGCGTAGCCGACACAGCGCCCAGACACACACGATGGACCCTCCGATGTCAGCACCTGGAACGGCCGGTTCGAAGCATACCAGCTACAGCTCTTCGGTCCCCTCGAATCCGTCAGACGACCAGCGACCGCAGGGACACCGTCTGTCTACGCAACATGATCGAAAATCGGTACGGCGCCCCAAGCCAGAGCCGCTGAGTTTACCGACACAACCTGAAATGGTACCGTCGTATGATGAATTGTACGGGTAACTACCGGAATTTGGGGCAGGACCCATGGGAGGCTTTCTGTTTGATTCTTGAATTTTGCGTATATCACTTGCGTGCATGCTTGCTTCATTTTGGGGATGGCAGTCACGGCCGAGCTACGCCGGACTGGCCTACTTCGTTTGGGTGGATGGGATTCTTAATTCAGCCGTGAGAGGGCAAAAGATTTAACCTGCATGCATTGTGGCGTCTCATTCCTTTCGGGAGGCGTTTTCCTTGTTTCTCTTGTCTATGCTTTGGCTCATTCGTGTGGACTTTTCTCATTACCTTTTTGGGGGTGATTAAATTGTTGGAAATCCGTTCATGGCGTGATAACTATTCCCAGCTAGTAAGTTGGCGTGTCGCCGTAGGTGACAGCGACGGTCATCTTGACCCCAATCTATGGATTAGTGTGTCTACGTCCCAACAGCGGGAGCACAGCTCCTCTCGAAGCGCCCATTAAGTTAGGGCGATCAACACAGGAGGGGTTGATGGATTCATTGGACAGCAATGATCCAAAATGAGCAGGGATGCTAATTAGTGGCAGTGGATGTGATGGGCAAGCAGCCAGTCGCACTGGGCCAATGCGGAGGCGCGAGTAAGCGCCGGACCCCGCGAGCAGGTCTGCGCTCGCCGCCAATCTGCGGCCATCACAGCGCATCACATCCACGGCTTGCCCGTAGCTCCATGCCACTAGCCGCCAATGAACGTGCATCCTGGCAGCGGCAGGAGTTGCTGCACTGGCCGTCACAATCACCGTCACACCTCCCTCAGAGACAACCCGCTTTCGCTGCTTCTGAGAGGCCCTCGAAGCGCCCGGGCTACTGCTCCTCACTGAGCTCGTTGGATCTTCCTCACCCCATCCAAGAGGCAGGCATGTCTGCCAATCCGGGACGAAACGGTATCTCCCCTCCTCGGTCGTCTGCTTTATCAATCCAGCATGGCACCGATCCTGCCGTTTAACCGACGATCTATCTGGGTTGGGACCGGTTCACCTTCACATTTCTACCCTCGCTTTCCCCATCGTGTCATTCCCGGTTGTGCTCCCTCTCTGTCCCTTGCTGCGCGGTGCTCTCGGCGCGGGTTCTGTCGACCGCACTGTCTCCAGCCTTCCCTCGTTTGGTCGTAAGTTAAAACGGTAGCATTGGGAGGTTATCGTGCCGTCTCCGACGCTCGATCTAACCAAAGCAAATACCAAGATGCTCGGCTCTTGGGGTCTAAGCCCCAGATCTACATCGAGATGGGCAGCGGCTGCCGCAGCGGCGTCCTTTCTGCTCGTCGGCCACGTCGCACCCCCCGCGACAGCGTTGTACGTGAGCGAAGGCTCCCCATGCTGGGATGTCTGTAACGACCCCACCAACACCACCACCTCGGAGATTGTCTGCATGGACGCGGCCTACAACGACACCACGACTGGCAAAAACTTCAAAGATTGCGTCTCGTGTGCGCTCAACAGTACCTACACTGATCCCAGTGGGTTGGTGACGGACGTGGACTGGGGATTGTGTAAGCCTGCTTCATGTGCTATCTTAAAGCTGTTGTTAATGTGGTTAGATAACCTCCGCTATGCGTTCAGCGCCTGTGTCTACGGTTACCCAGCGGGCGTCGACAGCGTCTCGTCGCAGTGCTTGGTTTCCTGCCAAGGACTTGACAGCGCGATCGAGTTCGACTTGCTCACTCCGAACGATATCAATCTTCGTGCCTGGTGCTCTACCTCCACGTTTGCCGATAATCAGATCGAAACCTGCGAGTTCTGCTACAATCTGACCGAAACACAAGTGCTCATGGCCAATTGTGAGTCTCCCAGCCTATTCTGCGCGAGTTCGACTAACTCGAAGGCCAATAGTCATCGAAGCCCTCCGCTATGACTGCCACTTTCCCGTTCCGTCCCAAACAGCCTTCCCGATCAGCCCGTCGTTGATCTTTGCCCAGGAACAATTACCTACCTATAGCAGCGACTTGCTGGACACGCCCAGTGGAGGCGGGGTCAACTATAAATTGGCAACTCTGATCGGCCTGCCGCTCATGGGTTTCGTGATTCTGCTTTTCATCTTGACTATCGGCTGTGTACTCGGCATCAGCTGGTGGCGGCGCCAAGAGCGCGAGGACGAGGAGTTGCGCCAGTGGAAGGCCATAGCGGCGGAGAATCCGTGGAGCGAGTACCCACCGCCGGAGATGTACTCGCAGCCGCAGCAGATCACGCAGTACGGTTCAGGGTTCCAGGTCGTGGATACTGATGGTCGCACTCATGAGGTGGGGTACTCTAAGAAGGTGATGATGAATGTGTCGGAGGATAAGGGGAAGAGTCCGTCGCAGGAGTATCCGGGGGAGTTGAAGCTGTGATGCGCAGTACGTGTTGGTAGCGTATTGAAATGATGAAGAAGTAACGCCAGAGTGGTGAGACCGTGGATATGAGCCATGTCTTTGTTGTTGTTCCTGTCATGTCAATGTTGTTCTGTTTTGATGTGCATAATGAGGCATATACCCCCGCATTGCTGGTGCACATAATATCTATCGAGTATGAATATGAATAATGAGAGAAGCGAATACCAAGTTGTGAACAATCCAGAAAGAAACATGGATCTCATCATGATAGAAGAAATGAACGAGTTGTAGTTCGAATAGATGAATTGAAGAGTACACACCACCCAAGGGAGCAGAACCGTCTATATCTCTGAGAAGTAGAAGGGAAAAGAAGGAATCACAGACCTGAAGACCTGCCACCATACTTTATACCCCCTCCCTCCATCTCCATCCCGTTCCACACACCCATCCCTACCAACCTAAATAAAGACAGACTTTGAAAGTCTTGGAAAGATAACCGCCCTCGGCATCCTGCAGGGCCCATCCATCCACAACTCAACTCGATACCCCCCTCCCCCTCCAAAAGAAGCATGAAGAATGAAGAAGTTTCAATCATATATACCAAAAATAACCACACGGGATGAAGATACTCTGATCTGTGAAGGATTATTGGATGGTGCTGTGACGTGCCAAGCTAGGGGAGCTGTATGCCAAGATGTGATGGGTTTCGGGATTGGGTTAGTGTTGTTATTGGATGGGAGAAAGGGAGGGGGTTAGGCAGCTATTTTACTCCGTGGGAGTTGGATAATTTTGGGGATGGGAGTGGGATATATTTACATGATAGATATATAGAGTAGAGGGGTATGCTACATTTGTGGTGGTAATAGTAATACTTACTTGTGGTATATTCTTAGTCGAGGGGAATCATGTAGAGTGAGAAACTAAGTGTTGTATGGATATGTTGTGTAGGAAGGTGTGCTACTACTGGGATTATTCCATTCTATTAACTAAGAGGGTTAGGGGACATGTGCGTGGTCCAATCAACATTGTAGAAAAGTAGCGTGAACATGACAACTACTGAATTCTAATGATGATCGTAAATTTGTCTTCTGCACCTGACACTTCATTGTATACCTACCTAACATTCAATCAACTCATGTATGTTAACACCTACCTGCTAACATGCTCGTGAAAAAAATCCACATAATCAAAAATACTCCTCTTATACCTCCTCTCCCACGTCCCATCTGTACGATTCACACTCTGCATCCCATACTGATTCGCATAACTCCCAAATTCATTATTATCCAGGTAACTCCACGCCAATGCCCCAATCACATTCACTCCATCTTCGTGAATCGCTTTCAGCATCTCCTCTAGGAAGTCCTGGTAATATAGCGTTCGCTCCAGATCATACCGCTGCGCGTTGCCTTCCTTCAGCGAGTCGTCGAATGGGTTGAAGCCGAATTCTGAGATTACTATTCCCGATGGCTTGAATGTGTTCCAGACGTAGCCTAGTTGTTGGCGGACGTATTGTGGTGCGATGGAGGAGTAAGCATTTGACATGTCGCCCATGAGCCATCCGTCGGATTGGATCATGGTTAGGCTGGCGCATTCGGGCCATGCGGAGTTGGAGGAGTTGGCTGCGCAGGCGGAGATTCCTTCTGGAGGGGGGAGGGCGAATTGCGCGACGTAGGGGTCGAAGGCCCAGAAGTCGATGGTGTTGTTGATAGTGGAGATTTGGGAGTCGGTCAGTGGTGTGAGGTTTAGGTTAGGCGTGTTGAGGACAGAGGAAGGGTACTGTTCGCCGAGGAATAGTGGGTTGGCCATGATACCTAGGATGAAGTCTTGGTATCGGAGGGCGGCTTCGACGTGGCTGCTGTTGGAGGGGTCCTGGGGAACGCCGAGGTTGTTGGCGAATTTTATGGTGATTTGGCCGGTGCCTTGCAGCTCTTCTTTGTACCAGTGGTAGACGGCTGCGTGGGCGGTTAGGACGTGGGTGAGGTCGTTGTAGGAGCTGAAGGAGTTGCCAATGCCGATGTTGGGCTCGTTGAACGTCACCCAGTATGGGACCCGGTCGGCGTACCGGGTCATTACTTGTTTCGCGTAGTAGAGGAAATTGTCTGTGAGGGTGGAGTAGTCGGTAGCTTGAGCTGTCGGGAAGTCGAAGTGGTTTAGGGTTACGATGGGGGTGATTCCGTATTCGAGACAGGTGTTGATCACATCATCGTAGTGCTGGAGTCCCTCGGTGTTGATGGGAGAGCCGGCGACGCCGAAGGGAACGATTCGTGGCCAGGATATGCTGAACGAGAGGTAAGGGATGCCAATGGCAGCTAGTCGGGCAATGTCTTGTTTGTACATGTAGTAGCCCAGGTCGGCGATATTGGCATCGGACGAGTTGTCGTCACTCTGAATGGCACCAATGGTGTCTAGAATGGACGGGCCGCGGCCTTCGAGCTTCAGGCCTCCTTCGATCTGCCATGCGCTGGCTGCGACGCCCCAGATGAAGTCCGATGGGAGCTTCACATCCGCATAGTCGACTCTGTTATACAGAGTAGGAGGGTACACGAGTTCGCTGGAGGGAACCGGTGTAGGGGAGACGGTAGTTGTGATTGGGGGCGCCGACGTATACGACAGGTTGGCCCACAATGCAGCATACGCACTCTGGCCATACTGTCCGTCTGCAGAGGGAGTTTGACTCGACTGCAAAGAGTATGTGGTATAGGTCACGTTGTCAGGAAGCAGGGTTGAGGCCTCGCTAAATGCCGGAGCAAACGGTGTAGCAAAAGACAGCGGTGAGCTCAGTGAAGTTGCATAGCGAGTTGAAGTGACCTGCGTGTAGGTAAACGAGCTGTAGGAGTATGAGGTTGCTCTTGTCGCCTCGGCTTTCTGCGTCACAGGCGATGCATAGGCGAGCTGGCTGCTGCCAGCTGCACCAAAAAGCACTAGAAAAGTGAGAAGATCAGTCATTTTCAACAAAGAAAGCTCTCGATGCCTGACCCCAGTGACCTTTCTGCATCATGGGAGTATGTCTCTGCGCTCTAAATACTCCTGTCGCCATTCCTGCCGGGACTGAGGGACGGCAGTTCTTCGGGTAAACCGCTTCTCCCAAGCTTTCAAATGATACAATCTGGCTATATTAAATGTCCATGCGCATTGTCTGTTCCCAATAGCAGCATCACGCTCTGCGGAAAATATGTTGCGGCAGTGGAGTTTGAATGAGGAGCCGGGTTGGAGGACGATCCCCCACAGTCCCTGACGTCAAACCATGAGACCTGGGGTTTGTTGCAAGGGTAAAGTGTGGGGTACTGCATCGGCACAGGCCTCATGGGCAATATCAGACGAGAAGCGCTTATTGGAGGATTCGGGGGTCTGTGTCGATTGGAACGGCATATGCGGGGTTGAAGTCGGGGTAATGAGATTGAAGAACAAGGAGACCATATGGCCTTGCCTTGGACATTCACGTATATCACACCATAAAACTAGATTATGACTACAGCTATAGGAACGATTAGTCTACTGATAAAATACTGGGAATAATTCGGATATGTGTTTGGGTGTACCAACCAATTTATTGGGCTATCATCTTCAGTATTCCAGTACAAGATGAAATGATATTGACCTCATACCGTTTATGATAAAATATCCCTGGTATCTCTTGCCTCACTGACAGGGATCAAGTTAATCGTCTTTCCACTGCCCGGCAGAAGCGAAATCGCATAAAGCATCTTACGCGGCAGCCTCCATGAACCCCTTCCACGCTGATAAGGAAACGAG